CGGTTTCACTCCTGTTGTTGCCACCACAGATCAAGAAATCATCAATCAAGCTCGGCAGTGGCTTATTCATAATCTCACTGAAACCGTAGGGACTTCATTTTCGCACTGTTTTCATTCACAGCGTTCAGGCCTACTCGCGTTACGCTTCCGATGATCCGGCTCTCATCGAAACCATAGCTCTAATTCGACAGCTCGAAAATTTACTATCACCCTCATCAGAAGTAGCCCAGAGAACCCGGGTTCGAATCCCAGCGACGGCATTTTTTGTAGGCTCACGACTCTTATGATTATATGCAAGAATTAGCTCGATTGACACCTGGTGTGCTCTGGAAGCATGCAGATGTTGAGGAGCCACTCAAGTTGCGACGAGAATCAGCAGTGGAGTTGGTCGGCATGGGCGTCATTATTTTCGCGGTGGGTCCACCCGGGTTCTATTCCCCCACCTGATAAGTGTTGGAGTAGGAATATATGTAATCGCTTTCCTCACCAGCTGCTGAGCTCAGGAGTTTCCTATACAGTGTTGGAGTAGGAATATATGTAATCGCTTTCCTCAGCTGCTGAGCTCAGGAGTTTCCTATACAGTGTTGGAGTAGGAATATATGTAATCGCTTTCCTCAGCTGCTGAGCTCAGGAGTTTCCTATACAGTGTTGGAGTAGGAGTATATGTAATCGCTTTCCTCAGCTGCTGAGCTCAGGAGTTTCCTATACAGTGTTGGAGTAGGAGTATATGTAATCGCTTTCCTCAGCTGCTGAGCTCAGGAGTTTCCTATACAGTGTTGGAATAGGAATATATGTAATCGCTTTCCTCAGCTGCTGAGCTCAGGAGTTTCCTATACAGTGTTGGAGTAGGAATATATGTAGTCGCTTTCCTCAGCTGCTGAGCTCAGGCGTTTTCTCACTTTTATACGAATTCGGGCAGAAATGTACAGGAATCGCTGAGAATTTGCCGAAATTTCCTCATAAAATTGGTTCCTCTTTTTCAGACTGCCCTCGGCGCGCTCGCCCTCTATTCACAGCGGAGGGCGACTAGTATGAAGGCGCACAAGGCTCTGAGAGTTGCTGTTATCAAAAAGTTAAAACGGCAGTAGAAAAAACACCTTCACATGCGAGTTTGTAAACTCCTGAATTTCAGTCCACCGGTGGTCTCTTCCCGCAGCACTCGATCAGTCCAGGAAGAGCCAGAGGCTGAGCGTCCGCGGCCATCCGCGGTTCAGTCTAGTTTACACGGTGATGCTTTAGATTCTTCACTGCGCCACGGAATTATTCAGGACCTGCTGGTAGTCATTATTACTCTCGAGAAAAGCCGAATCGCGGGAGTAATAATAAAGTTCGAAAACTTCACTTCACTGAGCTCTCGCGAAACGAAGTGGAACCTTCCCCGGCCCAAAAGATTACAGTAAGTTCATTTTTATCATTTCGTTTTTGTATACCATAAATTCAACAGATCCAATCGGCAATTGCGGCATCCCATGCTTTACAAAATCGGCCTAAGGCTGTTCCCACACGCCCTCGTCGTTCCACCAAGAACCGCTCCAGAGCTCGCAGTGGTAAATCAACAACTCCTGTGCAGCCGGCGCGGACCGCCATTTCTGATGAGCATTTACGCCCTACACATGGTGATCTGAGCGATCCTGAAACTAGCCGCCCTGCTCCTGTTCTCGATTTCGCAAATTCTGAATGCGAGTCTGACGATGAGGAAGAGTTGCCGGATAGAGAGAGCAACACTGGTTCACCCCTCCACGAGAGTGAACTTATGATGCATAGACTCCTAGAGCTGAGGCGTGCAGAAGCCTTGACCGATCGTATAGAGCCACCACCACATGATATCGCGGGCTTCACATCAGTTCTCGGCGAAAGGCTAGTTTCTAGTGCGACTAGATTTCATACCGATATCATTCCTCGAAGTGATAAAAGAAGAATTTTGATGTGCGCGCGGAAAGTCGTCGGAGGAATGGCGTTCGTTCACGAGATGCCAATGGCGGGATCAGGAATATTGAGGTAGGAAATGAAACAGATGTGAGCAGTGTTGGAGTAGGAATATTGTTTGCTTTACACCCCGAAGCTCAGGAGTTTTCTCGCTACTTGGAGTAAAAATTGCTCGAAAAAAATTTCCCTTCAGAATTTTCATATTGTCATTCACCCTTTTTCACCCACTCGGTGAAAAACACGATATTCGCGGTGATATGCAGTAGTCGTGAACTACGTTTTTCACATCACTAGTGATATTCTAATAGTAAAATATATGTTTGGTTTCGAATAGAATGTCAGAAGCTCTCTGTCGGCGCTATTCCAGTAGAAGTGTACAAAAAGCAACGAGACTTCCCTTATCATCATCAACTACCGCAGTTCTCGATCGTATTCATCAATCAGGACACCCCCACGACGAGGTTGTATCGATTCGCCCGACAGTTGGATCGGCTTCACACCAACCATAGATGTCGCATCCAGTACGCGAAGCATAGCTCTTCTCATCCTAGTATTTCCCTCGAGGTCCGCACACTGGTAGTCCGACCAAGGCTTCCTCATCACGAGTGCATCCATCTCCACGGTGAGCATCATATCTACTTTGCCATTCATGTGGTATTCTCTCAGGCCCGATCACAACCAGCGTAAACGGGTCGTGTCGTCGAGTCAGAGTTAACGTCCACTCATGCATTATGAGCATTCCAACCCAAATTCTGTTACCCGCTGTTTACTACTGTTTGCCCTTGTTATTGTAAAACGCTGTTGTGAGAGGAATAAACTGTTGGGTTCGCTTACGGGCCGAGCTAGTAAGCCTTTAAGGTGGCCTCTCGTTATCAAGCAGTTCAGGTCATCATTACTATCACTATTATCATCTGAACTCAATTCTGTTATTGAGTAGTGTCACCATCATCATCAGTTTTAACCTAAATTCTGTCAACGGTTGTTTACTTCTGTTTGCGGCAAACAGTTCACCCTTGTTATTTTAGAACGTTGTTGTTAGAGAAATAAGCTGTTGAGTTCACAAACTAGAGTGGTACAAAAAAAGGCCCAGCCCTCGTAATTTCACGCCAGGTGTAGTGCACTCCTCTCGACAAGCATACCGTAATTTGTGTAATTTTCCGAGCTAGGCTATGCATTTGTCTTTCCTCGCCAAATGGCATCATTATAATGTATTACGATATTGCACCAGATCAGTATTTCTTCCTATATCCCTGTTACTGGCTGCATCATGATTTTGTCAAGAGATGAATCACAAGAAAGTGAACAACAAAGATACCATTTGAAAGCCCTCATCGAGCTCTCTCCAACGCTGTATGAACGGTTCTGATATCCGTATTGTGCACCGAGGAATCGTCGGTTACATAGGGAATATCCAGCTTGTTGCACTGGCATTTATTTTTATTCTTGGTGAAAATGGCATGGACCTATCTTCTCGAAATAACTACATCCAGTTAGTTTATTCTGCTACTAATAAGCCCATTGACATAACATCAGTGAGGTTGTGATGAGGACGATGGCGCCGATATCGGCTAACGCGAGGCAGAGGAGAAGTAGGGAAACTTGAGCCAAGATGGCTACAGTTAGTGACAAATGAACTATAGCTACCTCCAAGTAATCATTTTCTGTGGGGTGGCTGCGTACTACTAGAGAAAGCGCACGCCCTAAACCCTCACAGCTTTACTGTACATAGTACCAGGCTTAGAATTCCTTACAAGGCTGCACCCTGATGATACTCAATCGATGTAGACTCTCTTCATCATAACCTTAGCTCAAGGCTTCCTTCACCCAGCATCTTGAAATTTCGATTCGTGACGAGAGCAGCAACGAGATAATCACCGCTAGTGCACACAGTGAATTGATTTCTCAAGTACAAAAATATATATGTTTAATGGAGTTTCACCCGTGATGTGAAAAACATATTTTACGACTACTGCATAACGCGAATATCGCATTTTCCTCCGAGTTTTACGCCACTTCACGTAAAACGGGTGAAACTCCAATATAGTGTATTAATAATAACAATAGTGCGATAGTATATAACAATGGAGTTTCACCCGTTTTACGCGAAGTGAAATGTGAAATGTGTTTTTCACTAGTGTTTTTCACATCACTAGGGTGAAACCCCAATATATAGTGTTTAATATATGTATATATGTGTTTTATATATGTTTAATTTTTTAAAATACAATAATATATATGTGTTTTTTCACTAGTGCTATTCATCTCACGGGTGAAACTCCATAGTTTTTCACAAATCCAATTTTTTCCACAGTTCCCTCACACTCTTTCTGTGACTGATTCTGCATCCACATATGGTACCCGTTATGCTCACCTATCCAGAATTGTAGTTTACCCTCCTCGTATCACCCGTAGTCGTTCCTAAGTTCGATACCCGAGTTAATGGTGTTTCACGACCCGTTTTACGTAAAGTGAAAAACGCGATATTCGCGGTGATATGCAGTAGTCGTGAAATACAAATTTCACTAGTGTTTTCCATTTTTCGTGAAACTCCAATGTTGAGTTATTCAACCAACCCGAATTACTATAAACTCAACAACAACTGCTACTACTGCTCACGAAACGATAATGTTGCCGTATACGCCACTTAGTACATACCAATTGGGAGCTCACCAGCGAAGGCGCCCTCCGACCTGAATAGAATACGAATGACCTCGAAAATTCCCTTTTTACTACCTCTTGTTGGTGCCTATCTTCCTGAGCTCTCCACTCTTGTACTTACTCAAAATCCTGAAGGGAAATCCTAGAAAAGTTTCGACGACGTTTATGCTGAAAATCCAGATAAACTTCGCAACAAACCACGTGTGAGAGAATATATACATATGTTGCTGACAATATAAAATTCTCATTGGTTTTTGTACACTTCTACCCGAATTCGTATAATCAGTGATGCTAAGAAAAATGAGCATATATCACTCCAACACTGATACCACCTGTCATGGTCTCCATAAAAATTGCCATTGTAATATAGATGTGGTGTAACCTCAGACCCACTCTTCGCAACAGTATACCTGATGATGGCAAGGCAACAAAATTTCACGAGCAACTACTACCCGGTGACAGCAGGATGCTCAGTAACGTCTACAGTCACCAACGGTACAGCTTGGATCTGACGAACGATCTGATGAATCCACCAGAAAACACGGGGAGAAATATACTTAACTGAGTTCACGGGAAAAATATTTTTTATCATTCAAAAGAAGATTGATCGATGAAATGAAATCTACTCCTCACGAATTCGACGGCTTTTCTCCCGAGACTACCTCTGTGAGCATCTTAACCACGTTCAAGCTGAGCTGGCCCTTGGGGGCATCAACAGTGCCGTCCATAAAGAGAACTAATGCATTCGTGTTGAATACCTATACACAACAGATAGCCAAACACACAGTGATATTAATGATTGATAAATTGGAGTTTTTTGAGCCTAGTGATATGAAACACACTACTGCATATCACCGCGAATATCGCGTTTTTCACCGAGTTTTACGCTACTTCACGTGAAACGGGTGAAACTATTATATATATAATACTAACATAGTTGTATTGAGGTAATAATAAATATCATTAAATGCATCATTTGATATTCATTGAAAACATATAATGTTGATTATGGCATACACTGCCATTTTTATAGTAGAAAAACTAATATCCTATATAGTAATGAAGTTTCTTGACCCTAGTGATGTGAAAAACACTATATTTCACGACTACTGTGTATCACCGCGAATATCGCGTTTTTCACCACACGTAAAACGGGTGATCGTGAAACTCCAACATAAAAATCGATATAATATAGGAACTACAGGGTCGAGTTTCCTATCCACTTCGTCCTTAGACTCCTCATAGCATTTCAAGGCATTCTTAGTATAGGCATTATTCTGTTCTCGGACAACCTGAATGTAGAAGAATATAAACAACGTGGAATAATAACAAATATTACGTTCACGAAAGTTGAGACGAAACGAGCACAGCTCAGCCGGGAGATACAACAACGGGTGAGATGGCGAGCAGGAGCGAAAGTGCTCATCATTTGAGGCTCAACAACCACTGAGGAAGCACTACACACAGTAGTGGTAGCAGCAGTAGTAGTAATCATACAAGTCGGCCGAAACATTCAAAGGGCATAACTAGGACGATGGATCCACAGGGGCGCGCGCTTTTGTGTATTCTCCTGCTCTAACGGTTAAGCTCCATGGTTATTGAGATAACGACCCAGGTTCAATTCTTGGAGAGTTTACTAACTTATATATACTTGTGTTGGTGACGATATGAAATTTCGACAGATTTCTTTTGGCTTCTTGTACAACTGAGTTTATACATGAATTCAAGTCAACGAACTGAATTGAGTTCAATTAATGTTTTTCGTGAGGAAATTTCAGAAAATTCTCACTGGTTTCTGTAAACTTCTACCCGAATTCGTATAATTAGTGAAGAAACTCCTCAGCTGAGGAATGCGACAACACATATTTCTCCGACACTGGTGATACTATGTCCGAATTCGACACTGTGAAATTATAAAACTGACTGAGTGGAACACAAGTCAAATCTGCGGGTTTCAAAAAACAGACTCTCATGTGACTGTTCATCATCATCATCATCATCATCATCATCATCTTTTTCCCCTCCTATTTTGCATCATCCTCAGCCAGGACATATACCACATACCAATATTCCGTCGCATTTGAGCGTCTATACTATCCATGAACAAATACCTGCAAAATTCTCGAATACAAATTTCCATACATCATTAGAGTCCAGCAGAAACCGGCCAGGAAAGAACACCATAATTTTTATTGAATTTATTACGAATTTAAACTGTCATTTTTTCGAAATCTCAATGCCAACCAACTCTGACACTGTTAAAGGAATATACATTCGCGTTCCTCAGCAGAGCTCAGGACATACGAATTTGAGTAGAAATACTCAGGAAGCAATAATAATTTCCAAAAGTTTTTTGACAATTTTCACTCCCATGATGGGAGTCCCATCAACACACACAGTCAAGTGTAATGCAGGCCATCCCATCCCTCACATAAGAGCCGCGTTAGTGACAGTCTGGGTGAGCTTCGCTCCCACGCCAGAATACGATCCTGTAATTCCATTTTCGCGAATCACATCTTGCGTACACGTGATCAGACCTTACCAAAAAACTAACATCTACTCGATGAGAGACTTCATTAGAATCACCATCGTGTTTTTCACTATTTCCCTGCGACGCCCTCAGTCGACTTTGGATCACTTGGAGAGGGTACGTCACCACCGTTGCTACAGCTTTGGCAAGCGCGCCGATAAAAAACGCCTCCTTGGCTGTGAGTACTAACACGCAAGTGTATACGACCACGACCGACAACGGGAAGTAAATAACTGTCTTTTCTTCGGCCCTTTACGAGAGTTGTCCTAAGCAACACCTGTGCCACGTACTGTACGACCGGGTTGGACACGAGGAGAAGACTGGCGCCTAAGCCTCGAACACTGCGAGAAAGACCCTGAAGAGCAGTGGTGTTGGGAATAATATGAAAATTGTAAAGAAATTCTCAGTGGTTTCTGCCCACACTCTCATCTGAACTCGTATAGTTAGTGAGGAAACTTTTGCACTCAGGTGGAGAAACTAAACATATACTCCAACACTTCTGAGGAGTGACCGAAACATATTATATGCTCTATATCAGACAAACGAGTCTAGATTAGAAGCTCAGAGAAGTTCGCGAATTCTGCACGACTTGTCAACTTCGCCACGCGCAAAGTGAAGACTTGCAGAATTCGGCCTCGACGGTTCGCTATTGAAGGTTCCAGCTCATGTTCGTATATAGAGTACAGTGTCGGAGTAGGAATATATGTAATCGGTTTCCTCAGCTGCTGAGCTCAGGAGTTTCCTATACAGTGTTGGAGTAGGAATATACGTAATCGCTTTCCTCAGCTGCTGAGCTCAGGAGTTTCCTATACAGTGTTGGAGTAGGAATATATGTAATCGCTCTCCTCAGCTGCTGAGCTCAGGAGTTTCCTATACAGTGTTGGAGTAGGAATATATGTAATCGCTTTCCTCAGCTGCTGAGCTCAGGGGTTTCCTATACAGTGTTGGAGTAGGAATATATGTAATCGCTTTCCTCAGCTGCTGAGCTCAGGAGTTTCCTACACAGTGTTGGAGTAGGAATATGTGTAATCGCTTTCCTCAGCTACTGAGCTCAGGAGTTCCCTATACAGTGTTGGAGTAGGAACATATGTAATCGCTTTCCTCAGCTGCTGAGCTTCGGAGTTTCCAAAGCTAATTATACAAGTAAATATATGAATTATACCACAAATGTACAGAAACCAAGTGTTGGGAAGGTATATGTTCGCTTTCCTCAGCTGAGCTCAGGAGTTTCCTCATTTACGGTAGAAATGCACAGAAACCGCTAAAAATTTCCCAAAATTTTCATACTGTCGCCAACATATGTAGTTGAACATGTGTATATTTCCCCACACTGATTGAACCGCATCATATGTTCCAACACTGTTGGAATATATGTTCTTTCCCTAACTTCTCACTTCTTTTCTGATAATGTGCATTGTTTCTACTAGAACACTTTGACTCTTCCCCTCACTTCTTAACTTCACAACAGTACTAGCCCTCCAAAGAGGCTCTGTAAGTATAACATTGAGTGATCCTGCTACTGAGGAAAGACCAAGCCTGGTGAGCAGGGAGGCAACACTGAGCTCACCGGTACTGGCAACCAGAGCTGAAGTGATAGAGTTATTACTATACCCGCGACCCTGAAGATTCAAAAACGATGACCGTCGCCACTGCAAAGGGCATGTAAATCTCAGATCTAGTGGAAAGTCTTCTTCAGTGTTATACAAAATTTCTCGCGGAAAAAATCAACAATTTTCCGCGACAGCAAGCTCACACGGAAGAAAATTATCTTTCGTGAAAAATTCCGACCGAGTGTGATCACGCTGAATTTCCCCCACCTCCATTAGAGTGGCTATCTTCGCTTCAGTTCCCTTGAGGAGGTAGTAGTAAATGAAGTTAGAAAGCATCACTGTTTCTGTTGATGCAGAGGCACCTGCGTGATTATTTCCGATCAAACGTGACACTTCAAATATGTTACCAACAAAGAGACGTTTCGGATTAGAAGACGCTAAGTAGATCAACCCGCCCATCGTAGACCCCAAGGGCCGCAGCGGACGAGGTAGTGGCAGTAGTGAATTCGCATCAACCTATAGCAAGAAAACAGGGACTATGTCCCCCAGGGTTTGATAACAACGGGGAAAATGATGTTACTAATGTCATCACATTTACATGGGAAACTGATTGAAGAATGTGGAAAATTCAAAACCGTTCCTAGATGACTCCCTGCAAGACGAAGCGAACATATGCAGCGCCTTGGTGAGATGAATACCTGTAAAATAGTTTTGACTTGATCCAAGGGATAGGTAGCCAACATTGACAGACCACCTGCCGTACTGCCAGAGACAGCACTTATACAATTAGAGATCTGCTCGGGTATCACGGGAGTAGCCATCATATAAAATACAACTGCCGAGTTGTTAGAAATGAGGTATGATAGAGTTTCCCGTCCGAGGGGGTTAAATATGCATACGTAGCGAAGGATCTCCCTCCCTGGTCGCGCACGTTGTATATTCAGATGAATGTCTTGCATGAACCGTTTCATATGTCATTTATGTGGAACACTCATAAGTATGTGAAGAATTAAAGAAGTTGCTCACTAAGCCTGACCTGTTGGATTGAGTACCCATCTCCCATCTACTTGACTGGCACTGAGCGTGGGCTATTCTCAGCTGCAGCAGGTTCCATTGGCACTAGCAGTGACAACGTGATCTCGTCTCGGCAGTCACCCGCTATCGAAAACCCGTCGTCTGCTGTTGAGCGATTCAGAGATGTTATGATCAGCGTGAGCGCAAGTCCTACGACATTATTCTGCCATTAAGTAGATACTCAGTATCGAGCGAATTCTTGACAGGAGGTCAAGAAAAGCCATTCATGTTTCCCGAGTTGGGAGGCCCAACTCAACATAGTTCAATCACGCATTTGTGCACTTGGGGAAATATTCATTATTTCAATCGCAGAGTGCCACCACTAATCATGGTTGGAACCATCGAAAAATGTACAAGACTAGGGGAAATCGGTGCCAGGATGAGAAGACGATGTCCACGTATCACATAATCAATTCGTCGTTGCTGATCAGCTCAGATGGTTCCCGGGCGGCGAGAAAGAGGTTTAATAACAGTGACTCGATCACTGAGGATGGTCGAACAAATAAAGTTCAATGTGACTGAAATGATGGAATTCATTCAAGCAGTGCATGACAAGCACTCAGAGCACTCGTTCCATCGTGAAGCTGTTAGCATAAGTCTTACACCGAAGAGTTCAGTGACCGTACACTCATCCGCAACACATGTATCTATCTCATATTCCAACATTATGTTGTCACGGCCAACGACAGCATAGACTCTTTCTCCAGCCACTCCTCTTCAAGAATCTTGGCCATGTTGACCTGAGGAACCCAGCTGTGTGAAATCGTTAGAAGTGTCTCTTGAGAAGGCTACGCAGAGCACGCACCGAGGCCTCCGAAACTGACGTGTTTCAGACTACCAAGAACTTCTTGGTAATCTGGAACACGTCAGCTTCTTGGCAAGAAGCGAGAAATGTTTTTACTAGTCCATGATTATGCACTGAGAACTCGTCGCCAAGACGGCATGAAAAATACGTTGAAGTTGGACTGGTCAACACTGCTAATCCCGTTCCTACGATATGATTTAGCCGCTGACGAGGGCATCCAGCCATCTGCAGTATCCTGGGTCCTCAATCCTGCCCAAGGCGACCAACACATCGCACTTGATAACCAGCAATACGTAGAGCATGAACCGGTTGCGACTGAGCAACCAGTGATCAAAATATAGAGGGCGATACGCGTTAATAATCTCTAGAGTAATCCCTATGAGTGTTAAGAGTAAACTCACCTCATATTACCCTCATTAGCTGCTGAGCTACTAGCTGTGCTGGACATGAAATAGCTGGACATTGTCAAGTAAATAGTTACACTAGCAAAGTTAGTGTGTGCGATAGATTGAACAACTCCAACAAAACACCTTCACATGTGGTGGTACAGAATTAATCGAGTGTCGTTTGACAATCGGCACGAGAGGAGCGAGTCCTCAGGAGTCATAGTTGAAATAAGTTGATATCGGTTGGGGTTTTGTCGCCACGGACTGAGCTTGTAATGAGTTCAATGAGAACCTCATTCCCATTAAGATCTCAATGGAAATGTTATGAAGTAATCGGATATATCCGATAATAGGGATGGCCATAGCTCGGCCCGAGCAAAAGCACACGTGTCATTAATTATCACACACAAGCACACCGAGTATTAGAAGGAGCAAATGAGGTTGGCCTGCACAACAAGGCCACAGAATACTGCCCACGAGCGTTTTTCCTCAATGGTATCAATCATTGATTCGCCTTGTCAGTATGGCAGCCCTTACGCTGACAAAAGCACAAAGCATCGTCATCAACGTGAGACCGTCATTAGGGAGAAGCGCTATACCGCACATAATACTTGCAGAGACTAGATCAAGATTGAAAATGGTGCAACAGGAGCAGGATTACTGATGGCAATCCATTACTAATAATCGTGGAGTCATGATCAGACATAAAAAACGAATCAAGCCCGCAGTTGAGCATTTGAAGTCACCACACGGACACCGGGGTCTACTTTCTTAGAATTGCGAGCCTCGAAGGCATCCCTCTTCATCAGAACACCTGAGACAGAGATATCTTACTAAACGACGCGAGCGACTGAGCAATAGACAGCTGCGGTCCTGCAACATGTACTAGTCACTCGAAGATGCCAAGATTGACAATGAACGATATCAAGGTACTGGATAGAGAACACCAACGAGCAAATTCCCAGGCTTACGCTGACAAAGTTCCTCCGTAGTAACAGAGTCCTTCGGTAGTGACAACCTGACAATGTCCGCTTGCCCTTTGGCATTCTCGAACTTGGATTCATCAGGGTCGAAATCTGGATGGTTGCTTATGACGACGACGGCACTTACCTAGACAAATGATGGATTCACACATTCTAATCACACAGAACTAGACTCGTGCTCATACGACAGAGTAGCACATAGATCAGGATGAATACATCAATCCAGTCTCAGTCAAATTGTTGATAGCAACCCTCCCTACATTGAATGCTCTGAAAAAGTCAGCACTTGGGTGCTCAGGAGCTTGCAAAACTACGTCAGATACATAACTGAGAAGCAGCTTAATTCCGTCTCACACAACTACATTCCTACCGGCAGCTGAGTAAGGACAGTGCCCGTTCGCCATCCGACGTTATCGTCTTATCGATCTCTCCATTCGCTGAAGAGTCATGCCTAACGCCAACCTGTAACATCAGTATTCGGATTCCAAGCGAAACATTACGATCCTCACCAAGAGGTAGTCCGCGCCTTTGACAGCTTTGTAAGCGAGGCGAAGAGCTTCCACGTGCGAAGTGTTTAGTAAATCCCAAACTGCGGAGATATATACAATCTGAAGATGCAAAACTGCAAACCATCATCACAGCTACTCTGCTCACTTTGGTGGCCCTCTCTATGGGCTTGTAGCCTCGCGAGAATTCTATCATCCTCCTACTAGTCAATGAGAATGCCTCATTCGCGTTGGCACCAGGATAGCAACCCAGAATCTGATAGGAAGAAAAACACTTCTCGTGTATTGAGGGCACATCCACCACACTTTCTAAAGAATAGCTGCACAACAACGTTGTGCAGTGACGACACGCTCCAAGGAATTCCGGGTACTCATTCCGTTACACATTACGACCACGTGATTTTACAGAGATCGTTGACGATAGGAATCACAAGTTTGCAAGAAAACTTCTCAGAGAGCCACACTCCATAAACGAAGAGCGGCTGATCACTACTCTGTTGATCAAGGTCGTCGTCGAAATACATTCGCTCCTTCTGAATTCCCGATATCTGAGCCGATTCTCAAATTCAACACCTTACGGCAATCAAACTACCTGCCAGCCTTTTTAACGTAACCATACATATCAGTACCATCAGAAGCTTTCGCGATATCATCACCGTGAACTGCGTAATCAATGCGATGCTGAAAAAAAAAGGGTCATATTTTTTCACGCAGCGCAACGCAAATTGATGTTACCTCATCCAAGAATTCGACTGTAAGAGGCTTGTAAGGAACGTCACGCACAATATCGTCCACCCATTTACACGCCCACAACATTGCCTGGGAAAATACCACTTCGCGCGCCACGAAAAGAATACCTACCTCTTTCTCCTCTTCAGAGCATACAAACTCGCCTCCTTTCACTCGTCGTATTTCCTTGTTAGGGTGAATTCCAGCCACAACTTCAACGTGGACCGTCTGAAGAGCATACATACGGTGTAATCATCCAACGTGATGAGTGCATATACGTAACACACAGAGGAGTTAAGATGAACTACTATCGTGAATACAACGAATGAGAATGCTCCACTGCATCGTTCCCTTCAAGATGCAAGATCCCCATGCCATGGGGCATGATCTATGCCTAACATTGTTGCGAGACAATGACGTAGTTAGGCCCGACACAAAGCCACAACAGCTAGCGAATCTAACTCTCACGAATGATAGCTAGAATACTACTACAAACTCGTGGATATTTCCTCGTCATTTAGACAAACGATGAGATAGCAATTGTGAGAGGAAGCTCCGCCTCAAGTAGAACAAATGAAAATCCGAGAAACAAGAAGACGGCGAGAAAACAGTGGACAATACGCAAAGTTTCTTACTTCTCCTTCCTCTTTCTTTTCCTCCTCAATTTCACGACCAATGGTAGAAACCTAAGCACAACCGGGAGATCCCAGGTTCAACCCAAACACATGTCACCTACTTGTCTGATGGCGTTGAAGTGACCAGTATGCATCAAATCCCAACATCCACATATCAAAATGCGCATGGTCTTAGGGGGCCGCACAATCGAGCCGCTCCCCTCAGTGGAATTGCCAATTTGATCAGTTTCAACCATATTGATCAAAGTAAGGATTTTCTACCACCACGAATATCTCCACTCAGGAATTGCTAAAACAAGAGGATCGTTAAACACAAACACCTATCACTTGATTACCACTGAGTGTGCAGAAACTAACAAGAAAGTCTCGAAATTTCCTCAGAGTTTTGGCAGTTTCGATATTGGATATTCACCACACTGCCACTTAAGCATGCAATGAGATATGAGCATTCTATTGTTGAGCTAGCTAACCCGCTAGTTCACTCTCCACCACGCAATAAGGCCGCCTCCACCCGAGTTCCACATATTGTCGAGGCATGCCCGAACATCCAGGTTCGATTCCCAGTCAAGACATTTCTACGAAATTAACTTTTTGCAATATACAATTACCACCAGAATCGCTTTCATCGAAACTCTTGGTTTCTTACACAATATGCTGCTCGCTAGCGTGTGGTAGTGTGTACAAGATTTGATCATTCCTGGTGCTCCGGATCTTCTCCGTGCGAATCATCATATGCCTGTCACTGAACAACCTACGATTCAATTCTGTGTGTCTTCGTTTAACAATTTGCAAGATTTTTGTGCCCGTCCCAGCGTAGCAAAAACGGGTTAGGGTTTTCCTAGTGCAGAAATCATGGAAGCTGGAATTGTCACAAGTGAGAGGGATACGCCTAAGATGCGCTTGTGAAACGACGTGCACATGCGTTTTAATGCAGCACGCATACTCATCGACAGGCACCAAGTCTAAGCTGCTCACACGAACAGTGGGAGCGCGGTAGGCCAGTTGCTAGCAGATTGTAACCAAACGTCATAGCCTGGCGAATATCAGTGCCTCCTCCCATGCTAGCGTCGATGAGATTTCCCAGTGTCATAGACTATGAATCATAATGTAGATGATAATCTACATTAGTTTCGAAGAAGACGTGCATTACTTTTCCAAACTTGCAAAAGAAACACACTTGGGACCCATTTAACTTTGAGAGATCATGACCCTCAGGATTTGATAACAATGTTACTAATGTGATGACATTGAAATCAGGGTTGTCTAAATGGGAAATTCAGGAAATTTCCGTTTGCAGTACTCAGTTGAATGGGAGTCGACCATCCATACTATGATCAAGTTGGCGCAACGGAAAACATACTGCAACCGGTACTCCTTGCGGTAGGTCGTCTCTCGAAAGTGCATGCCGCGAGCTGGGGTGGCTCTGAAAGGGATACTTCAGGGGCTAGTATCGTTTCAGATTGAGTGTCTATTACTGTGTAGTTATTCCTTACCATAGACATTACTCTCTTGTGTGGACAACAAGAGCGGGGTCCGTCGCTATGCTCCCAAAATGCAGAGGTGCCAAGAGTATACAAATTCTTCTCCGACTGACGCTCGACAACAAGCTGAAATGAAAGTATTAATTGTGTGGTCATGCGTGGACAAACAAGACTCCCCCGCGCTGTGTCGAAGCCAACAACGATCATTACAGCAACACTGAGGTTCCTTTGGACCGGTTCGACGTAAAACCTATTATCTGCTCATGACCGCTCGGTGCTCAGTCGATGCCTCACTCTCAGTCGATGGCATATCTCCACTACGGTGTATTTTGAATTCCGGCTTAACTCCCACCAAGGCAATCTTTCATCCCACATAGAGTGAGTTCCACATGATACATTGCCAGAGTTTAGAGGAGATAGTAGGACTAAGATTTGTGACCCATGAAGGAGGATTGGTGTCAGATCCAAGACAAGTGGTGCTCAGTTCGGCCACCGACACTGCTATCCGGCAGTTCGTACCCTCCCCGTATAGATTTTCATGAGCCTTAAAACTAACTACTGAGTAAATGAGTCTTGAGCGAAGTATTTCCGAGGTTTTCGGGAGTTATTCCTGTCGGTAGTTTGCCTAAAAGTGGCCCATCGTGGAACTGCTATCATGCGGCGAATGCTGACGTGAAGGGTGGTTAATGATAACTAAAAAATACGGTCGTGTTTCTCGCCTACGGATGAGTGATGCAACCAACAGTGTTGGTCCAACGCTGTTGATCTAACAGGGATCAATGAAGGTCTTCCCAGAATCAGACCCATTCAATCGGTTGAGTCGGGTCAGCCTCACCTTGCGAATTCTCGGTTCGGAACTCATTTAGCGATTATCAGTCAGATGTCGATTTATACCCTTGCTTATATTTCAACTCGACATCGGTCGTGTGGGGAATCAAAAGGTACTTGAGATTCTCAAGTTGAGAAGCGTCTCCGTATGCCTTTTTTTAGTGATAGAACACGTGTTATGTCACCAGGAGAGGTTCTTGTGACGATCTAATGACCTCGTCAGAGTTCCATGGTATTTTATCGGCTCCGATCTAGACTAGTGAGCATTCGAGACTGCTTCTATGAAAGGAAATGCCGATCACATGTTACGTGGCTGCAGCTACTGGCTAGTCACGCCAGCTGTTTCGTCACGCACAATTCATCCAAAGAACTCCTTGGGCTACCGCCATATTGAACAACAACAACAGTCATCATCATAGCAACAGCCAACGTATAACAGCCAGCAAAATCCAGCTGCTAAGCTCAGATAATGGGGAAAATGGGCGAGCTGCGGAGCAGGGAAACCGGTCGGCCACTTGAGTTGTACGAAACCGCAAGGCTGGCCGAGATGGCTGTATGCGTTATTCTTGACCGAAGACGAGTCAAGGGGTCAGCGGACGAGTTTGTCGTGTTATGTGACAGTGTCACAGTGACACGCTGTGTGCGCAGGTAGTGGCAGGTTGTGAGTCACAATTGGTCACAACTTGTGACCTGTAGCGCAGACGCTCGGCCGGGACCCCATCAGTGGGTGGCTGTTTCTTGAGGGTCAAACACCACTGGTTTTTGGCTCTTCTAAGAAGAGTCTTCTTGCGGTTTGACCTGACATTCAGCCGCCTCGCGGATTCAAGTTGAACCGTTCATTGAATGACGGCCATGATGATTCGACTCATCGAAAGTACTTCTCCGTTACGAAGCATATGCTTCTTCTATCCACATTGATACCAGAACAACGAGAGACGGGGCATGGGTGCTAACGATCCTAGTGTGGTCGTATATACGACAAGTCGTGACTGAGTCGCCGATTGACACTAAAGATAGTCGATGCTAGTGACTGTGGCAACGCAATCCCAGAGATGGATGCAGGCATCATATAATACTTGCGCAGCGCCCGACACGGTTGGCAAGAGTACTCTTACACGTAATAATCCTTTTACACATATACATGTGTCCCGTAACTGGTGTAACACAAGGGGATCTTATAGGTTAGGGACGTACAGTGTAGACTATCAGAGCCAATCGTACCGATCGTAAGGCGAAGGCAGGACTGTGTTTACGCGTGCAGTGTACTCAAGTACAGCGCACAGACGAACAAGTACGTATGCAGAAAATTGTCTACTGTACTCGGATGAAAGATGTTGACTAACATGGTCCTGTTGACGAGATCAGGACAGATCTGCTGGAGACAGCTCGAGCATCGATGAGACTACAAATGGAAATATTGACTGACCATACTGATGATGGAGAATAACGAAGGTTTTTATTGATGGGATTGAACGCTGGCAACGTTATTATCATAATGACAAGAAAAATGATGCTCATCTCTTGGACGTCTCTCGAAAGATGATGATATTCTTCTTATAGTCGACATCCTTACCATCTTTCTTATATTTGATATCGACATCGACGAGACATTGGTAGATCCACCATACAAATTTCCCGTTGTAGGTAGCAATGGTTACCTCAAACGTTATAACGTAGTCTACACCTGGGGCTTTTTTATTCACTTCGGAAAACAAGCGTAAGGACGCTCTTGCGTCTATACCTTCCTTTCCCAAGTCTAGTGTGGCAAAGGCAGTAGTTTTATCTGACGCTCTAATGACGCCAACGTGAGGTACAGACACGGCAGTCGACAGAACCACATCGAACTCGATTGTCTTCTTGCCGTCGTCGTCTTTCCCACCACTACGACTAACCGTGGGGACAGAAACTTGCAGGTCGAGCTTCAAACCATCGTCTAGATCAATATGTCGGAATGTATTCCCAGCTGCCCAGACGCCAATATCGTATGGTTTTGAGTTTGCCCATAGGACTTGAAGCTCCAGAGTAGAATACGAATTTCTATGAGCGCCGTTAGAGAGAACAAGCAAACCCGCATGGCGATCAGTCCTGGCTGCGTTCTCTAGATTGAACCAACAATAGTCCTTATCGCCAAATTGGACTGCTGGAGGTAAGCAGTTAGGAGGCCTCTCATGGATAACGGGTAGACGGAGAGAACGGAGCTGATGACCTTCGTCCAGGCTGATGAAAGTGTCATTCACCAACAAGGCCTCGGCGTGGGCGAAGACGATCAGATAGATAACTGCGATGCTTACGCCGATCATGAATATTATCGAGCAATTAAGGTTCACTGCTCATGTAAGTAGTCAGTAGCTTCCAGATGATTGATGCACCTCGTGTGTCGAGGGAGAGTCCAGGGCTCAACCTTGAAGGCTGTCAGTTGCGTCACAAAGCTTGCGTGAATTTGCTGTGTGTGCGTGGGGTAAGCAACGTGTTCGCGCACGTATGCACGTGTTGTTGAGTCAAGCAGTGCGTGTGTTACTACTAACACCACATCATGTGACTCACATGGAGAATGAACTCGTCCCGAATCGACCCCAACTATGGGGGGACTGGTGGAAGTGTCGCCTCTCCGATTGATCGATTCGCCACACGAACTCTTTTTCCAATGTTTCGCAAGGTCGCCGACGGAAGCCGAAGTGCTTAGTGCTGGGTGTTGACCCAACACGGTTGAGCACCTGCTTTGCCCAAAGCCTCAATATATAGCCATGATGGCATATGCGCGTCGCAGGGGTGGGGGCCCCTGGACGAGTACGCCCAAACCTTTCACGCACACTACGCAGGTGCGACCTGTCTACAGTATAGGGCTGAAAATTGAAGCTAAATTCGAACGAGCGGTGAAAATTGGCTGATTATCCTTGTACACATAGAACTCTATGGTAACGGGTGGCCTCTCAAGTATGGTTGAAGCTGAAACTAGGCCTTCCCGAGGAAGTAGCGGAGCTTGCATATCCAAAGAGAGTGCACGAGTCAGATTCTTGAAAACTACACACGCAAAATGAGTTTCCAAAGTTTCACTACACATGTATAACAATAAAGAAGTCACCCAAGAACGAAAGTCCATCAATCAATAATCATATCCCGCAGTGGCATCTCAAAGGACCTGCGTCAGAATTCTTCCCTCGCCCAGTCTTGAACCATCTAGATGGTTTCAGAGTGCCGACATCAGGAGTTTCGATGGCAAAGCTGTGCTATCGCGTGAACGTGATAATTTATCACGTAACAATTATAATAATATCACGTCATAATTTATCACTGATAAAGCTACATACGTGGACCCCGACCCTATTTCCTTATTGCCTATGTCAACACGAAATCGGCTCAGGCTACTCCCTTGGCTCTTGTGGATTGTACAAGCAAACGCCAACGGTAGCGGGAGCTGGGTTCGTGAGTACATTCGCCCGCCGACATTCCAATATCGTGTAACCGGACATATAAGTACATCCGTAGAATGCGTGGCGAGAAAAGAGGGGCCAGTGTATGTGGGGACATCAACGAAGGCTATCGGAAGATCCTTAGATTGGCCGTTCATCAAAAAGCCAACGACTTTCCCGGTAGAGGCACAGCAAGATTATTTATAATCATCACTGGAGCTCCTAGCTTCAATCTCAGCTCGCGAGATAGGCCACGCGCCAGCTCTGCACTAGCTTTCTCAGCCAACATCCGTAAGTGATCGGCCTCAATACCACAAGGTCGCCAGGAAGATGACTGAGCGACTCGCGATTAGTTTGTTGGGCTCTCTCCTTCGTTGACGCTAGTAGTATGCGCTTTCGGTAGCTCGGCACTTCTACTGCAGGTTGTTGGTGAAGCCGCTGCTCAGAAGAAACTGGTGCTCTTCCGAATTTTGCTGGCCATCACGTATCCTTAGGAGAAAACGCTGAAAGTTCTTGTCGGCCGTGCGGGCGATCTAAGATCGCCCGGACAAGACTTGTACGAGAATACAGCTTGATAGATTTCACAGAAGGCAAGCCACCCCTGCTTCGTGAGAAGGCTCTCGCTATCTTCAGCATGGCCCCCGCTGCAGGGGAGTAAAGCGGCTCGTCCAATACCGGTGGTATTGGAGTGTATTCGGAGTATTTGGAGTATTCCAGTATTCGGAGTCACTGGAGTGTGAAACAAGACCGGAAACCTTTCCCATGTTAATCAGGACATTCGAAAACCTCTAAAGATCATCAATGAAAAGAAAAAAAATTTGAGGGGTCCACGACCCCCCTGACGTGTTCGACTCTCGGGGCGATAGCGGCTCAATGACGGTGGTTTAAAATTTCACATTTGGTAGGTACAATCTGTATGTTATGACAGATAATCATGCAAAGTTTCAGTTTCGTTCGCTCAGTCGTTGAGGAATTTCAAGCGGCTAAAGTTGTTCACGAAGTTTTGAAACTCCCTTTATAATGCACGGTGCATTATGCACCGATGAATTCACTTTTCCACTCAATAATGCAGGTCTAAAGTTTCGCTGACAAGTCTCCTAGTTATCAATCAAGTGCAAGTACATCAATTCCACCACTCCTGTGGTCGACCGAAGCTCGAGCAACCCATCAGCATCATTAATAAGTGATCTTCCATGAGTCATACTGTCCGAAGTATAGTCATCTGCATGGTGGATGACAAAGTGACACTATGATAGTGTTGGGTTTCGCAGTTCAAATGGAGCTCACAAAACGAGAGTCGAGTTTGCCCAATGAGACATGGACTTGAGACGAATCCACCTTGCCCGCTGAACCCTCTTCATTAACTTGCATCCCTTCGGGTTTTTGGTTCGTCCGTTTCCCTTCGGGTTTCTGCTTCACTTGTTCCCCTCCGGTTTTTTGGTTCACTTGTTTCGCTTTAGTGTTTTGATTCACTTTTTTCCCTACGGATTTTGGTTACACTTACTTCCCTGTTGACTCCCTTCGTTACGTTCCTGTTATTAACTTTTATACACAACTCAACACCACTGTAGCACTGTGCAACTCCACTTAAACTTAGATAAAACTTCCCTCACTTCACTTTTCTCAACACAAGACTCAAAGAACAATCTACTGTTTGTTCGTTCCGTATCACTAGCCGACATCCTCAAGGATTGTCCAGCTATTATTTTCCTATTTCGTCCTTTTGGAGCGCTGCTGCGAAGAAATAGGACATCTATCACGATCTTCCTCATCAAGCTTGCTTAATCTATATGCCACTCCTAGAACATGTGGGCATGCTTTCTCTCGCAGAAACCCCACGCAACCATACGTCATATCTCGCCAGGTGCGCGCGTGCTCTGGTACTTCAACGCAAATAAATCTTCAACTAATAGAGAACCGTTCATCAAAAGTGTCAATTTCAGCTTCTCCCGTCATGACTCCCAGAAATTCCTTTATAGGTACTGCTTATAGGTACACAAGTACTGCTTGACGGGTTTCTCCGGCTCTAAACCTTGAAGTAGTCTGTGAGTAGCCTGTAGTCTATGCATTTCTTGAACAGGGAAAGTCGGCGTCATCTTCGTGCGCGCCACAAATTTTCTACCCTTGGCCACGATTTTTCTCCGGCGGCCACTTTTTCACTTTCCGAGCCACAAACTGCGTTTTCCGTGTTTGCCGGTGGCCGCCCTGGCGGGGCCGGAGGATGAGTTCCGGGATCATTTCGTGCTTGGGCGTGTCCCGAGGGTGTCCCTCGGATGAACAGGTGGAGTGCTAGGTGCCTCGGGTGATACTGGACTATGGGTCCCGAGAGGTTGTATTCGGGTTTCTATAGGGCCTATAGTATAGGCGACTGATAGACTAGGTCCGGATTCAATTCGGGCTTGGGCATTTCTTGAACGACTCGGATTAGCTTGCCGCTCCGTCTGATCAGATGATCGTCCTTGGATGACAGTCGTCACTTGGATAACAGTCATCAAAGGAAACGGTCATCAAGATGATGACCGTTTCCCAGGGAAACTTTCCCTTGTGATTCGTCCTCTCGCGTAGGTATTTTTTCATCGAGTTGATTCCCAAGTAGCAGTGCCCAATCTTCAATTTCGATCGATAATGCTCGATTTTGGGTTGAGCTATTCTGTTGCTGATCTTACTGACAGTTTAGATATTTACTGATAGATTCAGTCAGAGCGTTATATTACTCGAGCGGTTAGGGGGCCTACTAGGGCCTACTAGGGCCTCTAGGCCCGGCCTAGAGGAAGGGACAAGTGAAGTCACCAGAAATTGTGGCTTGTAAGAACTTTTGTGGCCACGTTGGGTTGGCTTTGACGACCTAACGAATCTGTACTGAAACGATGCGGTCTCTAACGCTGCTGAAACGAAGTCGCGCTTTATATCGTTTATAAGGGCGCGCGCTGAGATTTAGTGATTTAGGGCACAAAGTTTAGTGACAGGGTCTGGACGTGCCCTTGTATAACTACTGATCCTATCTTGCCTACTCGAGTTTTCTTGACATTCCCTACGCTCTTCCTACGCAACTCACCTCGGCTGGTGACACCGCGTCACTTGATAACCAAGCGCGTAGTTGAGAGTACGAGATGGAGGAAACACATTCAATATAACACACTATAGCACATCTTAGGTTGCTTACGATAAGATTCAAAATAGGTGCGGCAGAGCTAGGCCGTTGTGTTCACTGTGTTCTGCTATAGTTCATCAGTCTTGACCGTTTCCAACTCGATCAGGTCATACAGGCTAGTTGAGCTATTTCTTACCCTCACTTACCTTCCATTGAAGGGTTCGTTATTGTGTTATATGACAAGTACTTTCGAGTTCGAATTGAAGTGATCTGAAACACTTGATCAGTGTTTGAACATATGTTCGTTTTTCTCAGAAGTTCCTTCACTGATTATAGGAGTTTGTACGCAAATTCGTGTACAAATGTACAGACACCAATAAGAATTTCCCAAAATTTCCACACATGTAGTTGACCATATGTTTATCCCCCCGGACTGAAGTTTTTTACAGTTGATTTACTCCGCACCCCTCCAATTTACATGCCCTTCACTGATGTCTCAGTCGGCGACTCCTATCCGCTTTCCGAAGCTGACGGTATCCTTCCGACTCCCCCAAAAGGTCAAAAGTTTTCTGCTGCTAGACCGGCGCCGATTATGACTGATCCCATAAGTCGAAGCACCACTCCATTGAGCAGCATTAATACACCTTCATCTATAACAAGCACTAACTACGTGGTGAATACCCCGATATGTTTTTCGTCCGAAACTCCCCCATCGAGTAGGCAGATTTCGAGGTCTTCTACTTGGTCGGTCGCCTACAGCGATTCGAGCCCTAAATATGGTAGCCGATTCAGGCCTTCCAGTGTCCCTACTATACATCTTGACAAGTGCCTCAAGAGGGGAAGTAGCGACTTTATGAACAGTTTCGTTAACCCCGAGGCTCCCTCCCCCCCGGTGTATTTGGTCAAAACTAAAGCCTGCAGACACTTTGCCAGAGGCTATTGTGCTTTTGGTGATAAGTGTGCATTTGCTCACACTGTTGACGAACTCAGAGTGAGGCCGCCGAACTTGTGCAAGACCAAACTCTGCGACCGTGGGAGAAATTGTCGTCGCCCTAATTGTGGCTACGCCCACAGTAAAGCTGAGTTGTTCCACATTGAACCAGATTGCCCTGACATCAAGGGCGTTGATGATGCTATGTCTGACTACTACCAGGACTTGCAGTATATCGAACAGCTGGGTGTTATGTATGCTGCCGCTACTGAGAAACATGATAAGGTTTAGATTTTTTTCTGGAAAACACTCTATTGATCTTCCCCACAAATATATAGTTTTTCCCTGTTATCATTCAAGGCACTCTAAGAAGGCTTTCGTCGATGCAGGTAGAGTAGTACACTCATTTCTAAGCTCTTATAGACATTATAAGGTTAGTATTGTAGTTTGTTGTTGTCGCTGTCGTAGGCCTTACCAGCGATTTGACTTGGTGTTGTTCGCTCGCCGCGATATTACCACTATAATACTACTACTAACAATAGACTTACTGTATTTGTATTATTGGCATTATTATCATTTCATAGTATCACTTTTCATTGTCTCTACGCTAGGGCTAATCATGGTAGTTAATTTTTCGAAAGTTGATCGAGCTATTGGGCACTACAATGCACTTCGCTCGTTTCTTATTTGATCACGACTGAGTGTTCAGCATCTCTGTCACGAGCACTGATGCTGGCTGAGATCAGTGCGTATTATTTTATTAGCACGATTAGTGATGTGGTAACGAGTTGAGGTTTTTTTTGTTATTCCTGTTCCCTGTCAACTACTGGCGTTGGTGCGCAACGTAATCATATTAGTCGTATAAGTCGCTTGCGTAAGGCTTTTATTGTTTTGCAGTATAGGAATTGATTCCTTTCACTGTAGAGATGATCGTGACTTGATATCAAGCACGAAGAATTAAACTAAATGTTGCGTTCCAAGTATTGGGATATATTTTCGTCTTATCGAAGTTATGTGAGTTTGATTATTGAACTCAACTAAGGCCTTGGGTTTTCCCTGTCCGTTGGTTGTCGAGGAATGCCTTTCCAATGTTGATTTCTGTCTGTAATTCATCAGATCGTATAACTAGCTCGGTAGAAAGGCTCGATTGATAGAAAAAGGGAAAGTGACACGTTGTAAAGCCCAAACGCCTCAAAAAACGATTGATTTTTACGGCCGGATGTTTTCTTCCGTAACCCAAACTGGTTTTGTCTGGATTCTTTCTATTCCTGCGAGGTCCTAACCTTGAGCATGGTAATTATACAAGTACTAGCGATTTAAGGCAACGAGACCACTTATTTAAATGGAAACGACTATACTGGTAGATGAACAATAGCGAAACGAGCGAAGCATTTACTGACATTTATATACGTTCATTCGTTTATATAATCACTTCTCCACGGTGAATGTGACTGTCAATCGTGTCGTTAATACCAGTCTTGTTTCTTCGTCTCGTTTTCCTTGCAATTCCCATAGGAAACTTTTGACATGTTCGATCGGCCCCCCTTCACTTCATAACACAATCCGTGTTTCATGAAAAGTTACTTTCTAAGACCTCGATAATCAAGATAACACTTGCATGAGCTGATTAGGTGTACCTGAAACGTAATAACCACAGCTCAAAGCCGTCATGAAATCGAACATGTGGGGGCCTCAGGCGTCGTCCAGCAACAAGTTCCAGCCATAAAGACTTGGTATCGTCAGCTAAGAGGAATCACCATGATGAAATTGCTTACAGTGCGTGTCAATTTGATATTATGCAAATGTGAAGAATGTGCGTCTTTTCTATTCCGGGATTAATGATAGTGAACAACTTGTCGCTATCATAATCTCGAAAGGTTACCATAATCACATCACATGTTCATAGCATTGTTTATGCGATATAGTCTCATATCAATTTCATTGATCTATGAAAATAACACATATTTAAATACCAAATTCATACACACTGGAGTTTGCCGACCCGTTTCACGTGAAGTGGCGTCGTAAAACTCGGTGAAAAACGCGATATTCGCGGTGATTTGCAGTAGTCGTGAAATATTTTTCCAC